AAAAAAAAAAAAAAAAAAAAAAAAGAAACCAATACATTTCCCAAAGCATTTTTTTTTTTTTTAAAACAGAAAATCTACCTTGGACTACCAAAGTGATATTTAAATTGTAAACAGATTTCTATAAAAGAGCATGTTTCTTTTAATACCTCCAAAATTATTATTTTTTTTTTTCATATCTTAGTAATATAGCGTTTGTTATCGCCCACTTGTAGCTGCTTGTAGGGCTGAAATGCATCATGTTATGAACTGTTTCCATGTCAAACTCTCTTGGCCAACTCATATTCCACTAAAACAAACCAAAATAACCACACATGGATGTTTGGTTTCCATTTACTCCTGTCTTCCATCTCATTTTACTGAGATGCATGTCCACAAGCTCAGAGGTCCTATAGATTCCCATATGTTTAGTCCCGTTTATTCCTCACTGATCACCAGTGGCCTGGAAAGGGGGAGGTTCTTTAACAAAGCATTATACATAACACCGCTACCAAACTAAAACATTTTTTTGTATTGAATGCAGAAAGATATTTTTTATCACCCCTTTCTTTGTATTACATATCGAGAGGCTCACAGGCCTGGGACTAGCCTCTGTCAGCCAACCTTTGGCCAGTGAAGAGGATTCAGAGAAAATAATACAACCAACCATCAATCTGAAAAAAAAGGAGGGGCAACAGAGGGTGCTGATTATGCAGTTGCTTCGATGGTGCACTCTTTTGCCAGGTGGCCCGCCTTTCCACAGTTGTAGCAGTTGGTCTCGCTGGCTTTACTGCAGTGCACAGCGACGTGACCAATCTCACCACACCTAAAGACAAAAACAAATAAAAATAAAAAATAAGAAAGTTATATACTAGTACTTTAAAAAAAAAAAAAAAAAAGCTAGGCAACTTCTTAAAAACTCCACTTACCGGTAACATTTCACCTTATCGCAAAGCTTCTGGATGTGACCAAACCCGCCGCAGGAGTAGCACTTCTGCTCGTTGGCGTGGTCGCAGTCACGAGCCATGTGGCCGGCTTTGCCACAGGTGTAGCAGAGCTGCTCCCTCTCCTTCCTGGGCTCCTTGCAGTCCCGGGAGATGTGACCACTCCTGTGGCAGTTGTAGCACGCTGGACACGGAGGAGGTGGTAAAAAAAGGGTTATCACTTTATCCCCTGTGAAAAAACAACTAATACAGAAAATAAAATAAAAAATAAAAAAAAAAAAGCCATGTTACACACCATCCTCAGTTTGGTCACAGTCCCTGGCCATGTGTCCCTGGTCTCCACAGCGATAACAGAACAGTTCTGTAATGTCAAAAACAGTATGCAAATAAAGGTGTGTATTTTTTTTTTTTTTTTTTTTCCCACATTTTTGGTTAACTGCCACTAGAACAATACTCAGTTTGTAATATTATTACAATGTATAAATATGATTAAAACAATGAGTCGAGTCATATGATTGTTTTCAATTCGTATTGTAAAACTAAATGCGACAAGTCATGAAATACTGAAAAAAAACTTAAGATTGTATTATATCTGAAACCAGAGTAGAATATGCAAAGGCATATAAAGCTAAAATATTTGAAACAATAATTTTATCCTCAATATGGAAAAGAGAAAGAAATGCATACAGTACCCTTTCCTCGTCCCCGGCCCCTGCCACGTCCACGCACACCACTGGCATTAGGACAATGCTTGACCCAATGACCAGAGCGGCCACATCCAAAGCACTCACTGTTGCTGCTCATCTCCATAACCTAAACAGAAAGAAAAACAATACAGAGGTAAACACTTCTCTCCGATACGGTCATTTCCTGGAAAACATTAACAACTTTACTGCCTACTTAAGTTCGCAGTAAAATGTGCTTCAACTCACCTGGACAATGTTACTTATTATTATTATTTTTTTTTTTACAAATTAGTATTATAACTAGAGTTGAATTTGAAATAAATTTGTCTATAAAGTTGTAATAACTTGTGTAAATTAATACAATAGTCCTTGTAAAGTGGCTTCAGAGAATATTTGTAGTAAATCAGAATATTTGTAGTAAATTGAAGCTACATAAATAAACAGAATCAAATAATTGATTGCTTTGGTTTATAAAATATATTTATTTTTAATTGCTGAGAAACTTATTTTGACATGGTTCTTCAAGATTCAGTCAAACCCAACAAAATGACTACCATGTGGGGTTCTACTCTATGATCAGGGGGACACATTCATCAGCTGCTGCGTCTAACATCAACCATCAGACTAACTACTGAGCTAACTTACAGAAACTTCCTCAGTGGGATCATGATGTGATCGCCAGAGGTCGACCTTCTGTTTGCTGAAGACATCAGGTCAAGAAGAGTGGAAGTTAATGAAGCACTAACGTGAATACTAAGTAAGGTAATGAGGCTCCTAAAAATAGGACCTAGCATAAAGTCACAAAACCAGGAGACTACAAAGTTTAAAACGGGCAACTTAAAAACAAAACTATCTGTTGAACTTACACATTTATATAGGATAAATTCAGCCACAATGAACTTAATCTAAATAATCCACGTTAGTGGAAATATGCTGACTAGCAGAGGAATAACTGCGAGAGCACGCCGTGAGTAGCGCGTTGCATCGTGTTGTGATGAAGCGTGTTCAACAGCAACAAAGCCACAAGTCTAACCGACTAAAACAGAAAACAAACAGCTTGGAACGCATAAACGGATTACACACTCCAGGAATTTAGGCAAGACGTGAGAATGCTAAATGTTTACCGGCTCGCAAAACAGAAAACAAAATGCCAAAGGTTGAAACTCCGCTAACGTTGGCCTAGTCACGTTGATTTTTCTCCTGCGTACTCGCGAGACAGTAGCGCCAGCTAGGCTAGCTGCTAGCAAACACTAGCTCAACACCTCACGACCAAGAAACGCGCTTCGGTCGACGATCGAGCCACATTGCGCAGCAAGAACCAGACGATCCGTCATTAATTGTAAGAAATATACACAATACACGCATTTTGGTGGGCATTCGGGGGAATATGCCTTGAAAACAAAATTTCCCGCCAGGGCGCACACACCAAAGTCGTTGTGACGAGCTAACGTTAGCAGGCCGGGCTAACAGCCCGTTGCTAGAGTTTTAGTGGGAGCAAACATAATTAAAAGCAGAACCTTTTAACGGGAGGAATCAAACCAAACAACAAAGTTCGTGCCATTGGTGATTTCAACACGCAATAAGTGGAAAACGAATGTACATAAATAGTGTCATGATTACGAGAATTAAAGCCGTTTTATTGCTTACCTTGATGGCTACCTAGCTGTGTCAGTGTTTACGCCTCCTTCTTTGCGCTACATGCGGTGCCAGCAGGAGTTCCTGAATTGTCATTCGCATTATCCAGTAAAAACCCGCACAGTCATTGGCCGCGGATTCGCAAAGCAACCAATAATATGCGAAGAAGTCTGGACACCGCCTCTGGATATTAGCCAATCAGAAACACGGAACGGTCCCATTTTGCCTTCTGTAGATTTAACTTCGCTTTCTCCTTTCAAATTGAAGAAATGAAACAGTTATTCTCAAAATGTTAAATATACGGATCACCTCAATAATTACAAGCAGGTTTTTCTTGCATCACAATTTTCTAAGGCTGAGATATTTTGGGGGGTTGTTGTGTTGTCATGAAAACATGAAAGAGGAAAAACAATGTCCGTTAGCTTTGCACGATTGATTGAAAGAAACAGTTTAAGCATTCCATTTTACTTACAATCGATATTTCCAGATTTTAAGCTACAAAAATGAAAATAAATATTTCTGGATGTTAAAATTCCGAGTGTAAAAGTGAGCGGTTTCTCATCAACCAAGACCTCAAAATCCACAATAAATAGTATAAGAACTGTTTATTTGCATTTTTTACAATTTGGATCTTGTAAAACTAATTTGCAAACTAAAGATGTCAATTAGATGTTTCTAAAGAGTTTTTTTTTTTTTATCAATAAATGTAATGTTTTAGCTTACCAATCCTAGTCAAGTAAAGCTTGGACCTGAAACTCATTTGATTTGTTTTTGACTTCATTCTCAGATTTAAATTTCAACCTCAGATATTAATGGAACAACATAAGTGGCACCAACTTTGTTCACAATTCAATGATGTCCACCTCATAACAGTTCATTTGTCAGATTTTGGAATAGAACAAATTGATCGGATTTTGATCAGCTCTGATACTTAAAAATGGTATACAAATATCAACACGGTAACACAAATCTAACACAACTGGCATGACTTTCATTTTATTTCCTACTTCACAGAAAGTTCTTGCTGTAATATTCCATGTGTTGAGAGCATCAAGATAAATACCACAATTTACAAATGTATTTTAGAATCTGAATGTTTTATATGACAACACATATGAGGCACTTGATGAACTTTAACACTATGTAGAAATCCAAACTACTATGAACACTAAAATTATACATGATAATGTTTCAGTTACATAGTTTTTGTAGCAAGTAACAAGCTTTTACTATAGTTCTGTCTGGATACTCAGCCACTCTTGTTATCAGAAGTGACAGAGTTTATTTAATTTGGTTGGTTTCCCAGAACAGACCTGACTTTTATGCATAATACACCAATTTTCAACAGACTTAAGGTCAGGGCAATTCCAGAAGCTGCTAGCCATCTCTTCCATCCTAAAGTTAGTTTTTATGTGTGTGTTTGTTGTCATGTTGGAACATCCAGTAATGGCTAGGTTTAAACAATGTGGCCCAAACTGTCACCCTACGATGAAAGAAAATCTTTTAGAGTGTTCAAAAACAACCCAGGAACCAATATAGTTTAACCACCATGAGGAACACCAGTCCACAGTGAAGCACGTTTTAGCTCCATGGATTGTGTTGTAGTACCCAGGTCCCTTTACCAGTTCCGGGACCCAATCAAAACCCCTCAGTGTAATTTACCTTGAGAAATAAGGAGATTTGGTTAAGTTTAAAACAGGCTTTAGTGCCAAAAATGATCAAATGTTGAAAGAAATGGAACAGGTACAGAGAGACATTCACCATCCAGAGTTGGCTCCACTCAGCGGACCTTTAGGGTGCTACCAAGTGAAGCACAGATTGCAGCGCAAGTTCTGCTTCTTCTCATTTTGCACGATCTCTAACAGGAGTTGGCCTGCCTTAATCAGTTTGGTTTATGTGTGACTGTCGCCAGTCCTATATGTTATGGTTATGTGAGCTATGTAAGTGTGCATGTGAGTAGATAAAAGATAGAGGAAAGAGAATCATTATATCCATACAATTGAAATCTTGCAGCTTGACTAAAAATACTACTGTGCACATGGACTGCTTCTGGAGGAGGGCTTTATGGAAAAATAAGACAAAGATTGAGGTATTTGACCTCAATATTTGTGTGATAGGAAGCATGTTTGTAGGAGTAAAGTCAAGGCTAGGGTTTGAGGCCAAATTTACTAGCTGTGTAGCACAGTGGTAGCATTATCATGTGCTGTGTCTGTTCAGCTGGAGAGCACTGACTACAAATTCTTTAACTCAACCTCAACTGAAAAGCTAAATGGTTGCAATTTGGAGACAGCTGAGTGTTTCGACCGCGCCGTGATCCAACATCACGTCTGGTGGGGGGAATGGAGAATTCTGGAAAGATCGTGACCAGATCGTGACCTATGAAGCATTTATGAACTATGCTTAATACGTTGCTTGTCCCGGGAATCCATTCAATTTACCGTAAATAAATTGAATTATTTCCAATTATTTCAGAATTATTTCTTGACGGTGACAAAAAGTAATTTCTCCAACTCTTGTAAATACATTAAGCCAAATATTGATGAATGTATGCATTATTGCCTTCAACTCTTGCATGCATAGTTTGTTGAAAACAAGAGGACTGACAGAAACACTCATTAGAGCTGTAAGCATCTCAGCTAGGAGTGCTCAGTGCATGGATCAATAGGTGGAAGAGATGCTCTCATCTGTCTTAAGGTGGCCTTGGATCTAATGCTCTAGCGCTAGGTTTTCTGGTTTCTATTATGGTAGTTTTAGAAGCTTGTAAGCTTTCAGTCAGGAAAATAACCACAATAGCAATCTGTCTGGCATAAATTCAAAGCTGATTAAATCCTAATCCAATTACAAACAGTAGATCAATTGTATGAGGAGAGGGATACCTTAAAAAGCTTCACAATGACAAAGCCCTGCCCTCATCTTCACAGAAACATTAGTTGGTGTTTCTGTTAGCTGTTGGATTGATTACTTGCCTGTAAAAAAGCCATAGGTATTTGGAAAGTTCCATAAGTCAAAGTTAATGCCTGTTGTTGCTTTTGAACATAATCATAGGTTTATGTTTTAATCTCTTCTCGGAATTGTCTAGAGCTGCCTTATGGAAACAATATATGCTGAACCCATCAGGAGATGCAGATACAGGATGTTAACAAAGCTGCTTCTCTCTAAGATGGTGTCAACTCCAGCCTGCTGAGGGGACCTCCGGGCCATCTGTGATTTGGGTACCTCAGGGGACCCAGACCGGGATGCCACAGACATGAACACATTGTGAGTGGAGCTGGGCAGCTGAGCTGTATACAGTTATATGTTGTTTCAAGGTCAATTTCAGAGAGAATAAGCCATTTTTGTGGATAGCAAAAACAGTGATAATATTTGAAAAACATCACCTACACTGCAGATAAGAGGTAAAATGTGTTTATGTCTGCTGGGCTTTAAGAGAATGTATTGCTTGTGTAAACTGGATGCACGTCATCTTCTGTTTTGTTTTTTTTCTCTTACCAAATCTTTCCAATGTAACATGAAGAGCAGTAATAAAAGCAAGCAATTTTCCAAAGCTAAGATGTCGCAATACCAACATTTCGCCAGCAGAGGGCGCGCATGATAATATTATGAGTTACTCGTTAAAACAAATCGCTGATTGCTAATACCCTCACTCTTTAAAAACAAATGTACTTTTAAACTGACTAAGCTGTCTGATTACGTTAACTTTTCACGTGTTTTAACTTAACCAAAAGACGACTATTGTTTTTTAAGCTTTTATGTGCACAGTTTTAAAGTCTACGTCGACGACACAGCAGGACTTTGAAGTGTGTATAAGTTAAATGCGATTATATCAATATGCGAGCGTTTAAAAAAAATAGCTGCACATCTTACCGACGTAAAACCATCAGTGTGGCCTCGGTGGGAGGGTTTAAGTGTGTGCACTACTTGCGCAGTGTGAGCGATGTTTGCAGGTCTTGTTATGACTGCAAGGTCCTGTTTCAATCACTGGCGTCAGACGGACGCACAACACCAACTCAGCCCGTTTCACCTTCTCCCCAAACAACGTAAATATTGATTGGAACAGCGCCGCATTACGAAGCACTTCGTCGGACTTGTACTTTGGAAAGTGCTAAGCTGGAGTCGAAGAAAATCCCTCGTCGTATGACTTTGAGGGACTGGAGTTTTTTTTTTTCTCTCCTTTTTTTTCTTCTCGCATATCACGACGTGCAGGATTAAACTTTTTCCTGTTGTTTTAGGTGGTTTGTGGAAAAAAAAAAGAGGACCCACCTGTGACCTCCCCTTTCCGTGATTAACGCAATATTAATCCGCTGTAAGATTATTCGATTCAACGTCGGGAGCTTCACCAGTTTTGACTCCTTTTCCTCCTTTTTTTTTTTTTTCTTTGAATGCGTTGCAATTATGATGATGTCACCGACGCCACTTTTCCCTAAAGTTATGGCGGAGCACAACTTTTTTAACTTCTCTTGGTGAGCACACACAACCTACAGATCCTAGCACTCACTGCTCTTTGAATTACGCTTATATAGGCAACTTTCTTGGCTAAAACGCTTCGGTTTAAAGCTAATGAACTGCAACACAGAGAGAAGGGACGTAAAATGTAACGATACGGTCTGCTTATGAGGGCCTTCGGGGAATGTTAGTGTTTTAACTGGAACAACCAGGCCTGCTGGGGAAAAAAAAAAAAACACGTCGCTACATTTATGGTTACCTTTTATAGTTTCAGGAATGACTGCATGCGTTTTAATGGTAGTGGTTCATTTTAGTTCTTTTGTTACGTTTGAATGAGAAACGGTCCTGAATCATAAATAAGGCCAACACGCTGACGATGTCTATGGAGGGTTGAAAGTGCCACAGTGTAAATCATGCATCTTTGCATACTATTTAAGCGTTGTGTAGCAACAAACAGCTTCACCTGACATGGCAAGAAGATTCAACCATAACATTTTAAAAGATAAAATTATGTGCTCATTTATTTCACTTAAATTGGACTGAAACCTGTGAAATGTCGTGACAAAAAAATACCTTAAAAAATTTTTTTAGACGTTATCAGCTTCATCTTTTATCAATTTTCCTTTGTGCTTGCAGCGCTGTATGAGTGTCAGCCACTTGACTTGTAACCATCTCT